AACCTTCCACAAAACACAAAAGCACACACACAAATCTGCCAAATTCTTTGCCAGTTTATAATAAGGATGACCTTTACTCCATTGTCTAAAAACACATTCCTCATTTCCATTTGAAAGAACATCAAAATGGCCCTTACTATTTATAGTTCTATAAACATTCTGTTCAAAATAACTTAGGTATTGTTAGAATCTCTAACAAGATTCTCCTCTCCTACTGAGCCCAGACCAGGATCATCCTTAACGATCTGTTCATGACAACATAAATGTTTTCTAGCATGCACCCAAAAGCTCTTCCAGCCTGTCCTCCTTACTCAGTTCCAAAGCCACTGCCACATAATTTGAGGTATTTGTTATAGCAGCACCCCCACGTATCAGGGCGAATTTTCTGTCTATGTCCACTTAGGCCGCTAGAACAAAATACCAGAGACCAATGGCTTGTAAACAACATTAAAAATTCCAAACTCTTAGTTGTGAAGGGACATAAACATTCAGGCCCTAGCATGCGCTAAGCATTTCACCACTGAACTGGGGATACTATTTTATAATTATGCGTAGGCGCCAGGAAAAATATCCAGGTAGTTTTTTATTACTTGAGTAAGACCAAGGGTGATCACTGATTTTACATCTCCAACCTTTACTGCATGTGTGTGTGTGAGTGGAGTAAATATTAGATAATATCTGTAATTATATATATACATATATGTGTATATATACACACACACATATATACGTTAAATATATATTGGATGTACATAATTATATGCTAGACATATAAAGTTACATGTTAGATGTATAATTATATATTAGGTAATATGTATATTAATATGCATTCCATTAATGTAATTGTATATATTAGCCATATATAAAACATACATAAATAGTTTGTGTAACTATCACCATCTACTAGTACCAAAATCATCTGCCAGACAAAAATGTAAGTCAAAATTCTCTTTCAGGCACTAGTATTTGAATAAGGCAATGCCATCTGAGGAACTTGAAACTTCCTAAACAAAGTCTCTGTGCTTCCTCTTAAAATGATTCTCATCCACCCATTTCCAAGCAGCAGCACTGATTGAAGTCCACTTTCTATTGTTTTGAAGTCTTCATCTCTTTTCTGGAATACTTTCACTTCAGTGAATACAGTCTACACCCACATACTTCATCGCAGGATGACTTTGATATTAGGTATAAATAATGGTAGAATTCTGCACAATTTTAGCCAATGCAGTAAAAGTAAAACATTATGACAAATACACACCAGCAACGTCTTAGTCTGTGTGAGTTACTATGGCAAACTACAATAAATTAGGGGCTTATAAAAAACAGGATTTTGTTTCTCCCAGTTCTAGATTTTAGAAGTCCAAGATCAAGGTGCCAGCAGGTTTGGTGTCTGGTTAGGGCCCATCTCCTGGTTCATGGATCAAACTTTCTAGCTGTGTTCTCACCTGCAAAGGTCAAGGCTGCTCTCTGGCCCTATTTATTATTAGAGGACAACGCCTATGATGAGCACTCTCCTTATGAGCTAATCACCTCTCAAATGCCCCACCTCCTTATACCCTCATTTTGGCAACAGAATTTTTAAATATGAATTTTTGAAGGGGTGTCACGCAACCATTCAGACCAACATAGAAGGTAACATGACATCAAGGATAAACCTGTTTCAGTGGAAACTTACTCTAATTTATGAGAAGATCACAGAGAATGTTGTTGTAATACTCATCATTTGAAGAGTGTGATCATTTGTCCAGTGTGCGAGAACATAGTGGGTTGGGTGCCTCTGTAGGAAGAACACCCTGTGTCTTTTGGATTACTCATTGAAAAGTCAACCCACTTCAATGACTTCCAGAGATAATTTCATCACATGCATTGAAACTCTATTTTTAATCATCTCAAATAGACATATTTATAATAATATATGCACCATATATACAGTTCATCATTTCTTACCTATGCAGATTTTAAAAGGCTCATAGAACTTAATCTATTTTAACAGTTGAAAGGGATCTTTGATGTTAGCCAGTCTTTTCACCTATCTTACATAGATGTTTTCCCTATACTGTTCATGCCAGGTCATAATCCATTTTGAGATCCAATCACCCATCTATCCATATTTCATATCCTTCATAGGCATCTATCCAAATTTTGAATATCACAACTCATAACATAAACATTTCCCCCCTAAACTGCACTCAAAACTTTCCATATATCTTTTAAACATAAATCTCGTCTTTGAGACCCATGAGACATAGGTCTGAGGTAGTTATCACATTTTGAACAACAACAACAACAAATCCTGAAGTAAACATTTCTTCATATTTGGCATTAAATCTTTGTCAGCCTCCTCTAGGTGATCAATCTCCTCATTAATAACAGTCAGGAAAAAACAGACTGTGCCTTTTACACTTTGATTGGTGCAGCTTCCCATGAGGCTAAAATCTTTTTCGCATTGTTACTCTACTAACTTTAATATAGGCTAACACCATGTAAGATTATTTTGTCACCAGCTACTCAGGAGGCTGAGGCAGGAGAATTGCCTGAACCCAGGAGGCGGAGGCTGCGGTGAGCCGAGCTCGCGCCATTGCACTCCAGCCTGGGTAACGAGAGCGAAACTCCGTCCCCCCCCCCCCCAAAAAAAAAAAAAAAAAGATTATTTTGTCAGTCATAAAGTATTGACTCATGTTGAGTTTGAAATAAGACCACAGGAAAGTCCTAGGAGTCAGAGGTTTCTCTATGCTATGGATTTTGGAAATATAATTTTTTCATACATCTATATTATATTTTATACTATACTTTTGATAAAAATTGCAGATTTTTGTTATTTTTTGGAAGTCTTGACTATATCATTTAATAAATTAGCTTTCCCTTCCATAGTTTTGTCATTTAAATTGACAATATGAGTTCTCAGTATGTTATTACCCAAGATTGATAAGAATACTGAGTTAAATACAGAACCCTGAGACACCCTCACTGAAGTAGAGTAATCAACAACCAAAGGTGTTGTCTTGTAGCCTGAGTTTCATATGCTTGTCAATACAATGAAAACATTTTGTTCAAATATTTTGCTGAGATAAGAATGCAGTACCTCTAACATTTTAATTAACCACTGAATCAAAGACATAGCAGCATACTGTTTAAATCCAACATAAAGCTGAGAGAGATATTTGACACACTGGAAGATGGTGTCAAGATTTACAAAGCCTGAGTGACATTCAGCATTTCTGGTGTCCTAAAATTCCCCAACTAGGTAATTAAAAGGGAATTTAAAGCCCAAACTACTTATTTGTCATACAAAATAACTGTCCAACACGTTTAACATTTGTGAATTTAAAATAGCATTGGCTGTTCTGCTGCTGAAAATAAAGTCGTTGAAATTTCAAAAATAGTGTATTGTGTTTTCTAATAATTAAAAAATATTTGTGAAATGAGAGGTACTTATTTCTTTTCATTTAAAGTTTTTCTTTTTAACTTTTACTTCAGGTTCAGGAATACATGTGCAGATTTATTATATAGGTAAAACGTGTGTCATGGGAGATTGGTCTAAAAAATCATTTCATCATCCATGTAATAAGCATTATAACCAATAGAAATACTATGATTCTCACTCTTTTCCCAACCTCCACCCTCAAGTAGGTTCTGAAGCCTGTTGTTCCCTTTTTTGTGTCCATATGTACTCAATGTTTAGCTCTCATTTATAGTTGAGAAAATGTGGTATTTAATTTTCTGTTACTATATTAGGCTGCTAAGGATAATGGCCTCCAGATCCATCCATGTTGCTGAAAAGTACATGATATCATTTTTTTCCTATGGCTACATGGTATTCCACAGTATATATGTATCACATTTTCTTTGTGCAGTCTAACATGGATCGGCATCTCATTTCATTCCATTCCTCTGCTATGGGAATAATTTGGGAACAGTGCTGTGATGAACACACACATGCACATGTCTTTATGGCAGAACAATTTATACTCAGTATTGAGATTGTTGGGTCAAATGATGATTCTGTTTTAAGTTCTCTGAAAAATTGCCAAACTGCTTTCCATAGTGGCTGAACGAGTTTACATTCCCACCTGCAGTACCTAAGTGTTCCCCTTTTTTCCTCTACCTCACCAGCATCTGTTATTGTTTGACTTTCACTAACAGGTATTCTGACTGGTGTGAGATGGTTTCTCACTGCGGTTTTGACTTGGATTTCTCTAATAATTAGTGATGGTGAACATTTTTATATGTGTGTTGGCCACATGAATGTTTCTTTTCACAGTGTCTGTTCTTTTCAAAGTGTCTGTTCATGTCACAAGGCACTTATTTCTTAAAGCTAAATTTCTCAGAATTATTTTTTATTTGCATACATTTGTAACAAACGAAATATTCAGGGTTTCTAACAAATATTCAAAATATATCTGTTAATACAACTCATAATTTATTATAATATAATTTTCTAAAGTTTCTGTGATTTGCACTTGACTGTGGATATCACCGATTGTGCTGTTTTAAATATTTTCAGAAACTTTTCCTATTTACTGTCCACCAAAGCAATTCTCTCTCCGCACCTACTTTAATTGGAACTCCGAAGTCACAAACCTACTTGAAATGAATGGGACTGTAAGAGAAGCTTACTAAAAAGAACCTATCAAATATTTTTATGCAGGTTTTTTTTTTTTTAATTTAAACCCAAACTTCATCAGAAGCTGCTGCGTCAGTTCCATATGCTTCCTAAGAGCTAAACCAAAGACAAACAAAATTCATCATTTCCCAGCTGAATAGCGGGAACTATCTTAAGGCTATGATGCATACGTTGAAATAAGTAAGCAAAATGTAATATGTAACTCTCTCCCATCAATGGATCAAAATGAGAAAAGGGAATCGTAGTGGTTTAAACAGTGTATTAGAGAATAGCCTGCTGTGCTCAAACTGTGTGAAGAAAATACCATCAACGGCTTGTGAAACTGGCATTATATGGCATATATGAAGGACAAACAGTCAAGTGCAGAGAATCTTACGTTCTTGAAAGGATGTGAAGAGCATCTGAAATCGGCTGTTTCGACTGCCCTCATCTGCCCACATGCGGATCACCCCAAGACCTGTGCGTAGCATGACATCATTAGCCACGGTGCTACAGAACTTAGCTTTCAAATCCTCCACGGAACTGCTTCCATCATACACAGCCACAAAATTTCTCTTGCATTCATTTGAATTCTGCATCTCATAATCCAAGAATCGCAAGTAAATCTATAAAACAAAAATAAAATATTTTCCCCGTATCAAAATGTGAATGTACATCAGTAAGTACCAGACCTTCTTTTCTCTTATTCAGTCTCACAAGACAATCTTGATTGCAATCAATCTTATTATTTTTTCCTTGTGAATAGAAGGAAGATGTACAATAAGAACAAATTGTGTTTCATATTTTTTTTTCAAATGCTATTATCCTTTCTTTATTTAAATGCACCGTTTTCTAGAGCTGAGTATTTTTATCCAAATGAGCTTTATGTTTCCTCATAACTTATTTGAAATCAGTTATTAGTTTTCCCTGCTTATACACTGTTTTTTTTTTTTGATTAGCAAAATGCATTTTAAATATTCCTGATACATTTCTGTTCCATGGCTTCCTTTTAGTTCCAAAAATGTACAAAAATACACCACTTTTATTAATAACAAAGCAAAGCAAAAATGATACTGAAAGACTGCCTCTGATTTGTTTAACTAAATTATTTAACAGAAATACACAGATTCATTTTTGAGGTGAAGTATAACTTTTTTATAAAAAGGGCCAAGCTAGTCTCTGACCATTCATGCCACACATAGACAAGCTGTTTAGCTAAGTTACACAAATAAAAATAAGGATTTAACGGGTAAAAAGTACTGTGCGACCTGCTTTGTATGTTATTTTGTAATACTTCCAACAACTCTATAAAGTGGCCTATTTTATTGTCATATTCAGATGAAGAAACTCGGATGGTATAAATGGAAAATTAAATGTGAGGATCCTCTAACTTCCTAGTCCACAATTCTTTCACAATGTTATGCTGCTTTAGGTGTACTACTTTTCAATCAACAGACATCATTCGACTCTTCACTAATGTGCATTGAAAACCACAAGTAATTCATTCAACCAAATACAAGTCTATAAAGAAATCATTTGCTCATGCATCCATCGATTCAGTGGCATCCACAGGTTGGCCTGTGATTGCTGCAGACACTATTCAAGGCACTGTGGATATCACGGAGAACGAAAAAAAGTGACGGCCCGTGCTGAAAATGTGTGTCAATTAAACCATAACACTAAGATACAACGTCAAAGAGTGGCAATTATATAAAGCAAAAGGACCCACGCACTGTGAGATGGATACCTAGAGTGATTTCCTCATGAAGACACATCATTCATACAGATTAATTTTATTTTAATACGGATGCCTACACGCTATTTCCTCTTAAATGCACTGCTCTTAATTTAGCATGAATATAAACTAAAGACATGGCATTCAATCAAACATCCATCTCTTTCATCATTCTGTATTAATTTTTTCTTATTTCATAAAATGTGAAACTCATAAGACAACTTCTTCCAGATCCAGTATGTCTACACTAAATTTTATAATTTCACTATTTAAATTAGTGAAAATGTATTTCTTGTCCTCAATGTTCTTACTCAATGGGGTACCAGTTCCTGACAATTTCACCTTTAAGCAAGTTGTTTTCCACTTCCATTCACACATATATAATATTTCAACAGTCTCCTGCCCAGCTTGGGTAGTTGCAAGGTACAGATTCTCCTCACACCCCCAAAGTGTACTCTAATAAAAACTAGTTTACTCCTGCCAAAGTTATATTTCTAAGAAACAAATCTAATACTCACAGTATTTTAGCTAAAATTTGTAACTGGTATATAATTTTTTTTAAAGTCTAAAAACATCAAATAGGAAATTTACATCTTCCTTATCTGTCAACACTATAATTATTTACAAAAACGTTACCCTTTATGAACATGACATTATCTTGATTCTCTATCTTCTGTCTAGGAACTTTTTTCCTAATTTGTCAAGAGTTAGTTCAACTGTTACATGTTCAGTGAAACGTTTTCACTGCTCCCACTCGCCAATCTCTATAGCCTCTATGTTATTTTGAACTTTTTTTTTCTTCCTGAGACAGAGTCTTGCTCTGTCACCAGGCTGGAGTGCAGTGTCACAATCTTGGCTCGCTGCAATCTCTGCCTCCTGCATTCAAGCGATTCTCCTGCTTCATCTCACAAGTAGCTGGGACTACAGGTGCCAGCTGCCATGCCTGGCTACTTTTTGTTTTTTTTTTTTTTTTTTGTAGAGACAGAGTTTCACCATATTGGCCAGTCTGGTCTGGAACTCCTGACCTTGTGATCCACCTGCCTTGGCCTCCCAAAGTGCTGAGATACAGGCATAAGCCACCACGCCCATCTGATTTAGAACATACGTAAAGCTATAGTTACAGGTTATATGACCCTTCTAATAAACTTATGTTCCTGAAAAGCTGAAGCAGTGGTATATATTTTTGTATTCTAAGCATTAACACATATTTTATACATAGTAAATGCTCCAGAAATATTTGTGGATGATTAATTAACTGGTAGTTTCATTTTTTTATTGACTTCATTTGTTTAGCATTCATGAAATATTTATTGGGCACCTATATGACAGACATTTACGTGTTATAAATAATAATTACATAAAATAGTCTTATTTTGTTATATACAGAGGAAATTACATGCAATAATTCTCAAAACAAGATATAATATAGATCTAACTTATGACATAAAAGGATAAGACAAAATGCTGCAGATCTGTAAGATGCTAAAAAATAAAATGTGAAGTTCTAAATGAGGAAATCTTGACATAATTTGATGAGAAAGAACAAAATGAATTAGAGAAATATGGACAAAGGAATAAAACTGAACCACAGTGGAAAACACTTGAGTTGTAGGATACTTTGTATGGTAGTGCAAATTTTCGTATACTAGCAATTTGTAGCATTGTAGTTGGAAGCCATTCTAAAATTTCCAAATACTTTGACACTGATTTAAATTACCTGTCATTGCTACAGCCTGATGAGAGACATATGCCCCAACGAAGCCTTCATTTTCTGTAAGCCCAGGTTATTGCTTTATTTTATCAAAAACTCAGATATTACTCATGCAGTCCATCTGTGATTCCTCCTCCCAACACAATATTACATTTCTAAAATTATTCAGAGAACTTTAGAAATATCCAGTTTAAGAAGGTATATATGCATCTAAAAATGTTAAACTTCCAAATTTACACTAACTCATTTGTTTTTTAAATGTCAACAAGACTTTTTTTAAAAGAAATTTTTTTTTTCAGGTGACCTTTATTGAAAGCTGGAGTAAAGAAGAAAAAGAAATAACTTGCTCCAGGATCATAAGTGAATTAATGTGAATTAATCTTAAAAAAGATTAAACTTTAAACTCTAGTTTTAAGGTTCTTTTCACTAGGTCACATTGCTCGGTTTTGACTAAAAGTAAACAAGCTGAAAACACTATAAAAATAAAAGCTAAAATCTACGTATTATACAAATTTGTTAAATAGAGCAAGAAGTCAAATATATACTTACACTCTAAAATGTTATGCAATAAATTAAACAAGTTTATCAGCTCTCAAAAAATATGAAATGATAATTGGAAATAAACATTGCCACATGCAGGAGAACACAAATTAGGGTGTGTAATACAAAATGATGCCTCTCTCCCAATATCCTCACAAAGTTATAGAAACCAAGTACTACGCCCACAGAATGAAAAATATTTAAATGGTTGTTTGGCCAACTCAAAAACCTGTTTGACCACTTGATATTTTCAGGTTGAAACGTTTCAGTGGCTCAGCGTGTTTCAACAAAACATGGGGAGAAATTCCAGATCTAGGTGACGGGGGGATGTAGGCAGCAAACCACATTGCCATGTATGTGCCTATGCAACAATCCTGCATGGTCTGCACATGTACCCCAGAACCTAAAGTACAATAAAAAAAATACTTAACACTGCATGTAGAAACACACCTTAAAATACGAATTGACTGTTAGGAAAAGAAAATTTGTGTGTTTTACCAACCATAGTTTAAGACACTGCTAACACATTATTTCAAATCTCTCAACAACAATAGATACTTGTTAAAATCATTTAAGAAGAAGAGAAATGAAGTGTATAAAAATTAGGTAACTTTCTTGAAGTGATACAGTAATGTCATTTAAGTAATGGACTGCTACTGAAGTCAGATCTGTGTAACACTTGGATACTCACCACATTATGCAGCCTTATGTAATGTTCTTAAATGCTCACAGACTTATAGCCCAGAAAGAACATTATAATCTTAAAGAAAACAAACTAAAACAAAATGAGTAATCAATAAGAACGCAGAGCAAAACTATTCCTGTTTCCTAAATGAGTTAGAAAAGATGTTGACTATCAAGATATAAATAAAGTTTATAGAAAATAAACGTGTCCCTCAGAAATAAATGGCTGTTTAAAATTCTTTAAAAATAGAAATATTTTATATAAGAATACTGTTATAGTTATGAAGTCAATTTGCATATTGCCCCTATTTTTTTTTCATTTAACAGTTCCATTTTTTCCATATGAGATGATGGACTTGCATTTGTACGTGAAGTGTAATCACTGTTACCTAAGTATCTTCTATATTTAAAGGACATTCTTACTAAATAGAACACTATTTAGAGAGTAAGTTAATCATTGCAGTCATTAGATCCTAAGTAATTACTTCTGAAGCATTCAGTAATGCTCACCTAAGATCTACTGACTGCAATGATTTTTTACCATATAGAAAAAGAAAATATACTTTACTGGATCCAGAGCTTTCAGTACAAAAGCCAAATTCCTTTATCCAGAAAAAGTGATCAAGTTTTCCCATACTAACTCTAGTATATGTCAAATAAAATCTCTCTATACAGTATGATTTGAATGACTGTCTCATTAGCTTAAATCTAGTACCACAACAATACCAACAGAAAGAATTATTTAATGTAGAAAACTACAGAAAGCTCTCTAGTCACTTATTGAAAAAAGAGAAAACGATAAACATAATATATAACTCTAGTAAAATAGATTATCATCACTTCTCAGTGAATCATTTTGGTGCATTCTTTTTAATCTATCATAAAGAGTTGGGGCTGACAAGATAATTTAGTGACCAGGACATGGAAAACTTCAGAACACGTAAATAATTTCTAGT